AAATAAGGTTATATGCATATTAATTAATTTACCTGTCGTATCAAGGGCTTACCTCCTTTTATGTTTTTGATCTTGCAATATGTTGCAGGACAGACAATAAGATAATTTTTACAATTTAGATAGATTAATATTTTTTTATTAATCTTTTGATATCTAAAAGTTACATTGAGTCTCAATTAATTTAAAATTAAATTGTGTTAGTCTCAATTAATTTAAAATTATAAAAAATATTAATTATAGTAAATATTAAATATATTTTTATATATTTTTAAAATATAAAAAAGTTAAAAAATTAATTGCTATAATTACATGCCAACATTCTCAAATTAAACTTAAGGACATTTTTTTTTAATCTTTTTGAAAGACATTCATGCATTGACTTAAAGCAAGGAGCAGGTGGGCATGCATGATCCAGGAATACAAGAGGTCAGACTTGCAATTGGAGTTGATTTAAATATATTTTTTATATTAAAAATCTCACATTAATTATAGATAAATATTAAATAAGGTTATATGCATATTAATTAATTTACCTATCGTAATAAATGCTGTACAAATTTTGGTATTTTCACAGTTATTTTTCTTTATTCATATCACCAAATTTTTTACGGTTAAATCATTTTTATTGGGTGAATTTATGAGGTTCTGATTTGCAGTCTGCCCCGTAATAGACGGCAAGAACATAGTCATAAAAAAGGAAGGGGAGATGGGTCCAATATCAGGGCTCACCTCCTTTAATGTTTTTGATCTTGTAATCTATTACAGGGCGACCTATAAGATAATTTTTACAATTTAGATTGATTATTATTTTTTTATTAATCTCTTGATATTCAAAAATTACATTAAGTTTCGACACATTAAATCTCGATTAATTTAGAATTGAATTATATCATATCTCATAAAAAACAACTCTCCTCACTTTTTTTTTATTAATAAAACTTAAATTTAAAATTTTATTTAAAGAGAATTGAATTATTTCTACTCAAACAAATAATTGGTTGATTTATATAAATCATTTGAATTCCAAACAAATTTATTAATGT